TTTTTTTTTTTTTTTTTTTTTTTTTGCTCGTTGTAATTCCACTCTTAGTTGTTTCCGAAAGTTAAATTTCTAAAGATCGGATTTTCTGTTCCATACTGAAAATAATATGTTGTTTTTCCTTAACTGTCGTTAAAAGCGCATCTGAGCCTGCATCTGATACAATGCAGTAGGCATCGTGGTCTGTATTTGAGAAGCCATTTTCGTCCTCGCTGTTCAACTTCTCACTTGCCGCCAGGTTCACTAAAATTTGTCTCAGAGTTTTCAACAGTTAAATGTCTAATAATTTTTTTCGGGGCTTACGAATCTTCGATTTCTTGAGTGAAAATATAGTTGGTCTCCCACCCAAATACGATTTATTCCCTCCTTCAAAATGAGCACTACACACACGGTGATGCTTGGCGGGCTCAAACTTACTAAATTTGCCTTCATTTCCCGCTCGTCCAATACTGTCAATCCATATACCTCTCTTTTTTGGGTCCTTGGGGAAAGCATAAAATGAAAAATTTCGATCTCGCTCCGTATTGTTGAAACAAACAGGCACAAAACACATAGAACCGTCGAGAGGCATTTTATTTCTGTGTACAGAAATGGCGGCAACGCAAGATGGGTCCCACTTTACCCACAATGCATTGCGCTCAATATCGAAAACGAGACGAATAATGCAAGTCGTATATACAAGCACCAGTTTTGAAAATGATGTGTTCAATTGTTTGTTTTGCTATTTAAAATAGAAATTCGAAGATATGACGGATTTACAATGTGTCAGAATGCAGGTGTGAGCATGCTTTTAGGCATTCATGAACAATAACCAGGTGATATGATGTCAGTTGTATCATATGTACTAGCATTAATTATTGTGTCAACACATTGGAATTGTTCTACTGTAAGCAATGCCTTTATGAACAAAATTCTTCAAAACTTTTAAGATGTGTAAGCCTTTAAAACAGGCAATCTTTTATTTGTAGTCAGGAAAAGAGTGCAGATGGAGACAATAATGATATAGTTATCTCAAGCATCTTGAGTTAAATTGTTTTCTACAGCAATATCATTACCCAGAAGTCCCAAGGCTGCCAATGTTCCCAGAATTCCTAGAGGTATTCCCAAACCGAGGCCAACCTTCTGACTGCTGTGTGTGTCTGTGTCTGTTTTCTCATTGGTTAAAATTTGTTTCTCAGGGCCCTGGACAGAAACACAACATGACGGAAATAAAATCCAATATAACAAACTTCCATTTATTTTTTCCCCCTTATAACACAAACAGAGATCTTATGTTAATGTAAATGTACAAGTCATGGAATTTCACATCAGTTTACCAAATAAAATCAAGCAATTAAAATAAAAAAGCTGACAACTTCTATGGTTTCTCATTTACTAAGAAAAACTTTTATATTGAAAGCATATATAAGTATTCTGTGACAGGGCCTTTAACTTTATAAATCATAATGAAATTTAGAAAGAAAAAGCAAACTCTCACCATAGGGTTGACAGAAGGTAGCGGGGTCACAGGGGGCACAACTAACCCCGCACGTGCATTCTTCACATCAACCTCACTACAGTTTGTGCGGTTGTTCAGGACGTCAATAATTTCATTCAAAGCCTCTGGAGTTCCGTTGTAGTATATAGTTATAGATGGAGCACACGTGCCACTAGGGGGCAGACTGGTAGGCAGTAAGGCAGAGGTGGGTGCAGCAGACGACTTGGAGATCTGTTGAAGAAAAGTGATAATTGTGAAATCTTAAGGGAATGTGTTTCACTGGATAAGAGTGTACATAGTCATATTTGTCAATTTAACCAAGTTTAACAATCTGTTGAAGAAGAGGTACTAGTACACAATTTTAAGTATATATTTTCAATGGAAACAAGATCATTAGCTTTGAGATAATGTTAAGAAAGTATATCTTACAAAATTGATTCCATGTGATATTTCAAGATATCCTTAAAAGCCACATTACCAGGAATCAATATCCTCATCAAAATGGCTACCCAGAAAAAAAAGTAGTACACAAACTGCAAAATTTTGAAAACAGTTCTTCTGTCTTTTTTTCTTCACTTACCTGTACAGTAACCTGTCCAGGTGTTGTACCCCCTACACCTGGTTTACCTGGTATCACATTGATCTGGAAATACAATGAACATAAATATAGTCTGCAGAAAAATAAATTATTGCACATTATAGGTATTTAGGCATACAAAGTATTTTAGGTGGAAATAGTCGGGAGGAGTATTCATGAAAGTTTTTTATCAAATCAAATTCTTATTTATTAAAAACATAACTCGGTTCATAATAGAGAACTGACTATATCAGATGTGAGCATATCCAAACAGATGGAAGATTTTTTTGTATTCATGGAATTCTTTACCTGAGGTTTTATTCCAGTTGGAGAAGGAGTTGTCTGAAACAGAAAACATGGGATCTGAACTATTATTCTTCCTTGGTGCAACATCAACCATAATTGACTACTTCTAATGATAATTCAAACTATGTATCTCTGTCTCTATCTCCCTTTCTCTCTTTGGCAAAGTATATGCTTATATATTGTATTATATTCATGTCTTTTCCTTAAATTTTCAATTATGTCACATGTATTTTGTACATGCTGCAATCCACACTAATCCTGCAGGTCCTATATATATATATATATTACTCAACAAATACTACTAGTAACAATAACTAGTACTACTTACAATAACTACAACATAATAATATTATCCCATGTCAAATAACCCCAGTACCTTACTGTCCACACTGCTGTAGGTGTTGGCCAGAGATGTCTGGATACCAGGTGGCGTGGCTGTGCTGTTGGTGGAAGTTCCTGTTGTTACCCTACTCTGAGTAGTCTGCTGACTGTTTACCTGTTGACACAAACATCACACCAGAATAAAAAATATAATTATGTTACTAACATGTGGCTGTAATGCAGTGTTTTCAATTGCAAGTCCAAGATCTTAAATAATGCTGGTAAAAGTTTAAAAAAAAAGGAAAACTTGTTCTATTTTGAAATTGATGTTTCATATACAAAACAAATACAACAAATGTATATGAAACTGGCTATTTTGACACAAGTGCAATATATATATAATCAGATGCTGCCACTGCTCCATTAAAACATTAAAATGTTAATAAGATAATCCCACATTCTTCAAAGATTTATTCACTTAAACTTACTGCGCTACTTGCTGTGGAAGAAACCATGTTTCCTGGAGTTGTCTTTGCCAAGCTGTCTGGAGAAGACTTAGTTCCCATTGTAGTTGTTCCCTGCCCTCCATTACTATTACCACCAACATTGACACCCAGAGAGGGAGTGACTGACACTGACACTGATGACATGCTGACTGTTGATTGGCCAGACCCTGTAGAGGCTCCTCCCATTTTTGTTGTCATGGTAACCCCTGAAGTTGCAGCAGACGACACATTGTTCAGTCCCCCCGAACTAGTCTTTCCTGTGAGAGAGCTCACAGTTGTTCCAGATGTTGGTAATTTGCTGGAATGGAGGGTGGTTTTGACACCATCAGTAGATTTACCACTTATCCCAGTGTCCTTTGTTGAGGTTGTTGCAGTGGTAATGTTAGGCATTCCTGGTATGGTTGTGACACCAGGGGGTGCTGAAGATGGCACACTTGTTGACCTAAAGACAATTGATGCAGTGGATACATTATTACCAGCAGTTGTAGAATCCACCATCACTGTTGTTGGCACATTGGGAGGAGTGGAGTTTGCAACATTCTTGATACCAGTTGACGTCCCATTGGTCTGGTTGCTAGGCAACTCGGTGGTGAGTGGAGATAAAGTCGTGGTGAAGATGATGGCTGGTCTCGGACCTGAACACAGGCTAGAGAGAGAGAGCAGCAGAATGATTCATAGGTTACATAGTTTATAGACTTATATGGCATCATTATAAACTTTCAATTACAGCTTTTTCATTTTCGTTTTTTTTTTTTTTTTTAGAAAGTCCCTCACTGAATTCACAATATGACACTACTATCAATTTTCTGGATAACCGTTTTCATTGCATTTAGACATTTTCAATTCTTAAGGGAAAAAATTGCATTTTTGGCTGGCACAAATTAAAAAAAAAAAACATAATTGCCAAACTCAATAAAATATATACTAGATAATTTTTCCCATCAAAATATCTTTCCCATCAAAATATCCTATGAAATACGTGAATACTGTGAGAGCTGTGGAGCTGATATTAGTCCAGGAAATTGGTGAAAAATTGTGCATTTTTTACCTACAAGCATGAAATTTGGCACACTTATGGACAATGAAATTCTAAGCAAATTTGGATATATGGGCATGTCTGAAAATTCTAAAATGGCCGTCAAATCCAATATGGCCACCAAAATACCCTTTCAAATTAAAACTTCAAGTACATAATCTTCTAATGACTTAAAATATCATATAAAGGTTAGAAAACACCATGGTATGAATCCTTCAGGTGTATTAAATCCAAAATGGCCGCCAAAATTAAAAAAAGCAGACCATTTATTTAAGATATCCATTTGAATGGGGAATTCATCAAGCACTTAAAACTACAAGCATAAAATTTGGCAGGTTTGTGGAAAATGAAATTCTGAGCAAGTTTGGATGTATACTCATATCTGAAAATTTAAAAATTGCCTTCAAATCCAAGATGGCCTCCAAAAATACGACTTCTAATTAAAACTTCAAGTATATAGTCTTTTAAGGGCGTAAATATCATACAAAGGTTAAAAAAA